TCCAGGCAGGGACACTCCTCACGGTCATATGCTGCTTTCAATTCATCCACCTTGGACTTCATACCTGAGAGAGACAGAAGTTGATGTGAGTATCAATCAGACATTTAAATATTGAGATACATTCACATGCTAGTTATAGATATATATTTTTGCAATTGGGTGGATGATGGAAAAACAGCCGCCCAAAGTTTCTCTACCTGAGACCCGATAGATGCCTTCACACTTCATGCCATAATTTTCAATGTAGTCCACGCATTCTCTGAAGACGGCTGGCAGCTGGATACCATCATACAGAGCTGTCCTCTTGACAGCTTCAGCCAGAGGTGCTCCAAAGATGGGCCTGAAGGTGGGGATCTCCACTGGGACTGGCTCTGCCTCTGTTGTTGGTTTCTTCTTCTTCTTCTTCTCCTTCCACTGTTTAACCACGTCTGCAGCCGTCAGGTCTTTAGATTTCTTATCCTTGGCCTTGTCCTCTTTGGGGCCCTTCTCCTTCACCTTGAAGTCCTTTTCCTTCTTCTTGGAGAAGCTGGGTTTCTTGAACACATGGATTCCCTTGGAGCGTTTCATCTTGGATGGGCTCTCTGCTTCGTCTGCTGAACTGTCCTCCTGGAAGGCAGCGTAACCTTCCGCTGTAAAAGTAAAGAGATTAGGAAGAGGCAAAAAATAGGGTTAGATCTGAGGGGAAAAAACACACGTTTTCTTTTCCTCCTCCTACGACAGAACCATAATAGCAGTGAAATAGAAACAGGAAGAGAGATGTGTGTGAGAGAGAGAGAGAGAGAGAGAGAGAGAGAGAGAGAGAGAGAGAGAGAGAGAGGATAGCAGAGGAGGGGGAGAATGGGGACTTAGAAAAGAGGTCAGCCACCGATTTAGCATAGCTCCCTCTGCACCTTACGCCTCTCTTCTCTAGAACAAGCTCAGTTAAAATATTTTTCCTCAGAGCAAACGGCTACAAGATAGTGTCAAAGGCGGTTAAGCGGCCTCTTCGCAGTTTTTTTGTCTCCTCTAATTACCTCCACTCTGGGTTTCTCCGAGAACAGACCCTGTTTATCACACCGCTGCCTGAGACACACCGTCAACTGGGCTCTCTGGGTGTGCTCTGAAACTGTCCATCTCTTCCTCTCTCACACCATACCCTGGTGTAGGAGCTAAATACAGTCATGGAAAAATCCTGATACAAAGTGGACAATGAGCCTGACAACCACTCAGTGAAAAACATTCTCAGTAAAGGAACATTTCTCACAGCTTCAGGCAGCAGCAGCCAACAGGATGGAAAAGTTGGAAGCTGTCTCTCTCTGTACTCAACTACTACTACTACTACTAAACTGTTCTAAAGCAGAGGGTTTAAGTGGCCTGAGAATAGATGACCTATATCTATTTGGCAGTTCTGAAATGTTAAAGGATAAGGTTGGTGATATTCTACATTTTTCTTATTTGCAACCATGGAAACAGTCCAGTGTAGCCCAAATATCACATCACTGATCACACGACCTTCACTGAATGAATGGATTATGTTCAAGCACCTTAGCAACACTTTCTTCTGTGCATGAGTACTCATCTGCATGCCAACCATAGACTGTCTGACTATACCGTTTCCACGTAAGGTTGCCAAAATGCTATTTCATAACTATGATAAATAATAAAGGTGTTAAAGTGTCACTACTGTATATTACAGTTCAACAGTACCAATAACCAGTATTTTTACTAGAAGTTACCTTAAGTTATCTCATACCTGTGAACATTGTTATGTTATACTAACTTGTAGCACAAAGTCACTCATGCTTTCAGTCATTTCTCGTAGCTTTGACAAAGCTCAGAATATGTCTGAAAGATCAAGTTACAGGATAATTTCTTACTACGTTTCTCCTTCTTCTTGAACTTGTTCTTCTTTTTGCTGTGTTCTTTGTCATCGTCCGAGACGTAGGCGTCCGGTGCCTCATGGTGGTGGCCGTCGTGAGGTGGCGACGGTTCCCCGGTGCGGTACAAGCCGGGGAACTTGGTGGGGCTGATCTCCTCAGAGCTGGGGGTGCGGGCCACACCCCCTGGGTGCTCAGCCCTGCGCTGCTCTGCAGGGCTGCTGCTGGGGGGCAGGAAGCACTCAGTCATGGCTGCCCTGGCCTTATCACTCCTCTGATTGGCACATCACCTCTCCATCACACCTGCAGTGGCGGAAATACAAAATATCACAACAATTAAACCCTGCATTCGACTACTCGGGTAATCTCGACTGTGGTCCAGTTCTCACACAGATTCTTGAAAGCTATTCCATGTGCCTGTTGTCGCTTATTTATATGACAGGCAGAGGCAGCAGATTTTATATATTTATTTTGTGTTGACTTGTAGTAATACAGATCCTATTTATTTTATTTATAATATTATTTATTAGGCTGCTCCAATCAGGGTTTTTGGGGCCAATCACCGATCACTGGAAGCAGTATTTCCTCACAAACTACTTTAATCTGCCATGGATGTGTTTACAGGTGTTTGCAATTGTTTTTAATGCAGCTATCTGCTACAATCTGCTGAACTATGTTTGTTGTACTGCATGACTTCTCTCGGTACATTGCCCCTGAAGTACTCAACAACAAAAGAGATCTCGATCACAATGAGTTTATCTAATTAAATAAAGGTTAAAATATGTATTTAAAATATATATAAAGAAAATAAAACACTTAGCATAACAGAAGTAGCTTATAACTATGTAAGACCACATTATAGCAACACAAATGTACATTAACAGCAACAACAAGAAACCCAAAACAGTACGTAGTTTTGCTTTTAGAAAAGGAACTTTGTACACATAGTTCAGAAATCCTGTTAAAACAAGAGGACAATTTAAACAACGAATCATTAAAACTTTAAGCTGAGATACGATTAACTAAACACGCATAACTTGTGCAGCCACGGTGTGATAATGTAGTCAAAATAAGTTATTTCCCATCTAGATTAACACTCATAACCTGCAACAGATCTATTGATTTGTAAACCAAACTCAAACAGTCTGTACTAGCCGCAGCCCTTTCCTGCTTCTGCTTTCTTTTGCTGCTTATTTTAAAAGAGAAGCAGCTGCAACAGTAATGTCCACCCACCAGATGGGGCTCTGCTTTATGAACAATCCTCCATGTCCTACTTCCAACATGCCAATTCTGACATCCCCAGCCCAGCCAAATAAAACCTGCAGTCCACTCCATCATCATCAAGCACAGACACAGTGATTTACCAGAACCACTGTAGGACTGCAGCTGTTTGGGACTCTGATGAGCTCAATGTTTGGATCAGCTGAAAACAACACTGCGGCTGTCTGTCTGCATTGTTTGTGTTAAATTAAGCACAAAACGACCTCGTCTGTCAGGTTGCACACGTTTTAGCAAACAGATTCAATTACGTAATCGCTGCAAGGGTGTGTGTGTGTGTGTGTGTGTGTATAAAAAGCCCCAGTTTGTCCTACCAATCGATGTAAGCTGTTTCTCAATCTGACAGCAGGTTGAAGAGCTCCTGTTACACACTGATAGTAGAGACAACAGTGAGGTCTGGTGGTTAGTTTGGTGCACTATCAGTTCCTCCTGTGATAAATGATGTAACACAGCAGCTTTACAGCCACTAAACGCTGGTTTTTAATTCAACTCTGGACACAATTAATGATGTCTGACCTCTTAATCTTTTCCTTCGCTGTGTGCAGATTATCCTCAATCTCTTCTTTCCATCAAACACAACCAGTCACACTTCACCAACCTGCTGCTCAAACACCCAGTTTAGTTCCCTGTGCTTAATGCACTCAAGCAGACTCACATGAAACAAATAAAAACACCAGAAAGTAGAAGCTCTCCTCTGAATGGAGGGGCCCATATGCTAACGGTAGCTGAGCTAGCTGATTAGCCTTCCTATCCGTCACAATTAAAGCTGAACTTCCGCCCAGACAAAACCAACAGCAGATTTATTGTTAACTACATGTGCTGAGGTCTGTTTTCCCCCCGCTGTACTGTCGCTGAACACACACAACACAACGGACAAGAAACTTTACCAACCACCATCCCGTTCGGTCGGTTTCGGAGTGGAGCTTCCGGATGTCTGTGTACTAAAATAAACCGATCTGCGCTTGCGCGGTAGCCCGAAAGTGCGTGAAGGGAAATGTAGTTCGAAAGCGAACGCCTCCATTGGTTGGGGCTTTTCACCACAAATGTATAGTCTGTGTAGGTTTTCTTGGCTGAGAATGATCTGGGATTAATGAAGAGTGTTTAGGCTGTGGTGTAACTCTGACCCTGACCACAGGTCCGCTGGTGCACAAGTCTGTGTACAAAATAAACCGTCAAACAATGTTTGGAATAGCAGCTATAATCTAAATTTGGTGAAACCACTTGCTATTCTGAATCATGTGTACTTTCCCAAAACGCTGCGGTTGGACCCAGAAGACTAGTGGTCATCCTGACATATGAAACACATTAGTCCTCGGATCTTTGTTGGCACCATCTGCGCCGAACCCACAGCTGCAATGGTGAAATGAGGTCGTGATTCAATATCATAAAAAAAAAAAAGACAAACAAGGTCTCATTGTGCAACTGGGTACATTAGTCTGTGCAAACTGCTGTTGCATGCCAATTGGGAACAGAATCAATGATAGGGCACCCTGCTGCCTTTTGAAAAACGCACTGGCATTACAAAGAGCATTTGTGTGCGGCGGTGAGAGATTGGCATCGGTAAACGTTCCCTTTCCCCTCCGCTTGCATGAGACGGTCAGTGAGCACTGGAACACCTGTGGACCAGAATGGTATAATAACAACTTTGTTTCCCCAGGAAATGATGCGTTTCCTGGCTCGGGCAACACTAAGCTAAGATTAGAGCAGGAGACAGACAACTGGGAGGACAAACATTTACTATTCCACTCATGCTATGTACCTTTTTTCTTTCTTATTTTTTTTTTTAACACATCTTTTTAAGAAAACATAACAAAGCAAGAAAAAGATATTTTAAAAATCAGGACACCTCTCTGTGAAACAAAACAGTCCATGTCACCAAACTTTTCTTTATTTGGCATGAGACTGGGGTTTAGCAGACCATAATTGTAAAAATACATTATTCATATACACCTCTAGTAAAAAACACTATATCTAAAAATATACAGTGAAACATAACAGCAGAATAAAAACAATTTGCAGGGGTAGGAGGAAGGGTTTGTGTGTGTGTGTTTGTGTGTGTGTGTGTGGTGGGGGGGGTAATTTTACAAGGTAACTGAGGAATGCTAACACATAACAGTCATAGTTTCCTCTGCCCTCAGTCCTCTGGTATGGTCCAGACATTTGGTACCAATATGTGCCCGCACTTCAGAAGAGACAGTTCATGCACTTCACAGCCTTGCTGCCGTAGTCCACGCACTCGGGTCCGATGCACTGGCAGCAGGCGTTGTGAAACCAGCGGTACTTGGATCCTCCCATTGACTCACAGTATAGTTTACACTGACGGATAGACACGCAGTCGTCAAAGTAGACCACCGTGCACATGTTTTCTAAAAAAGAAATGAGAAAAAAGAAAGAAACGTGAGTCACAAATCCAGTAAAAAAGCACCGTTTTAAAAAGTGAGTATCTTTAACCCTCAATGTTCCTACTTTTACTTTTAGGGGTAAAATTAATTTGCTGCAACTAAGTATGACCATATGTTTTCTGGTGAGCTTAATGAGTTAACTGCTCGGCTCTGTGGGAACACTCCTATTATGAGTGCGTCTTTATAGCAAATAGCGCTGGTTTAGGAAGGTAGAGAGCCAAAACAGCCGCAAATGAAAAGTTTGAAAGTTTGAAAAGTCTTTTGGAATTTTTGAAATGATGAAAACCTGACCGAACCCAAACTGGTCTAAGTTCAAGCCTTTGTAGTCGACTTCAACTCTGGGTCGGGCCTGATTTTATTACCACGGGTCTTAGTGAGTGTGCATAAATGTAAATGAAACATTTGACTGGAGCTGACAGGAACAGAAAACTATGTAATACTAAAGCATGTTTTTCCTCATGTAGTGTAATGTATTCAGAAACTTTATTAGTGATGTGGTTGTGACACAAGCTCTCTACAGGGGCTTTAAGGACCAGTGCGTAGGATTTAATGGTATCCAGTGGTGTAGTTTCAGATTACAGTTCCCTCACTTCAACCTCTCCCTCTTCCAAGCGCCTAACTTCCTCAAAGATACTCAATTTACTGCTGAGAAAAGCAGCAAATTCTCACCTTCAAGAAGCTGGAACAAGCAAATATTTGGCCTTTTACTTGATAAATGACTTAAATTATTAACAGATTTTTAATTTTCTGAATATTTTTTGAGCTATGTCTTATTATGGAGAGATCCTAGTTCATGTGAAATAGACACAGACATTGGAGGAAGACGTAAAAGTAGCTAATGGGAACATGTAAGGAGCATTTAAATGCTGCTGTAGTTTGTGGTTGGCTGTGGCGCAGCTAATTTAACTACTTTACTGTTACTGTTGGGTAGGTTAATAACAAATGCTTCATATTTTTTAAGCTCATCAGATGTTTTATGTCAAATTGTAACTTGCAAAGTAATTATTAACCAGTCAAATAAATGTAGTAGAGTAGAAAGTACAATATTTACAGCAAAATGGATGTAAAAGTGGGATAAAATGGACATTTTTCAGTCAAGGAAAAGTAAAGTAATGAAGATAATACATTCAAATTACAGGTCATGTGTCTGTTTTGGGGACTTTTGAGACTTATTTTACACTGAAAAACTGAATCTGAAACTTCCCCTGAAGAGGGACCTTCAGTATGTGGATGAATATGTATTTGAGAAGCTAGTGAACAGCGAACGAAGCGTCACCTTGAGTGTCGTAGCTGGCGTGGATGCTGTTGCCAGGCACGGAGACGTTCTGGGGCTGGTTGTCGAGCGACTCCAGGAAGGAGACCAGGTTCTCGTGATGGGAGAGCTCCTCGGCGACGGGGAAGGACACCACCATCATGTTGATCGGCGCGTCGCCTTCCGTGAGGGCGCGGAACAGCGAGGGGATCGGACGGTGCAGCTCCTCCACGGTGCTCTTCGACGTGGCCGGAGAGTCGCTGTAGTTCTTCGGGTTGCACATTCCTGCGTAAGAAAGATGGATGAAGACATTAAAGGGTCAGTTTACCAAAATCACTATTCAGATAGTTTCTTTTTTGTCTCTCTTAAATACAACAGTGGCACCAGCGATAATGTCCCAGTTACTCTGGATAATTCGGGCTTTACTGTCAATAGTTTTCATTACTTTCTACCAAAGAAATAGTCCCTATAAACACTTCGTACTTTGTGGATTATCCAGAGTAACGATGATCAGGGGAAATGTTCATGGGGTGCTATGGAGACTTTAGGTAGTTGATTTTGATGGAAAAAAACCCAAATGAAACTCAAAAACAACATTATTGTGGCGCATTAGTAAAGTATTAAATAGAAACATGTAAATGTGCCAATAGAAATCAATAAATTGTTTCATTTCTGACATTTTTTCAAATAAATATTCTTTCATTGAACTTAAGGCTATAACTTAAAATGTGCCCATAACTGGTCATTGAATTAAATGTGTTTATTTACATTGTTTAACACAATATTTTAAATATGAATCTAAATTAATATGTTCAATCTGACAGCTTTTGACCCCAAACTGGAGTGGCCTTACATTGTTAACGCCACTCCTCTGGATCCTTCCCCGACGGAGACACTGTGCTTGAAAAGACTAAAAATGTAATTACTAAAGTATTTCAGTAATGTACTACAGACCAAATTCCATTTAATTCCCTTGTATTGGGATCAGGGTCATGAGTTCAAACTTCCCCAGAGCACAAACCCAACCACAGATATTTCTGACAACCAAATTCAGTAAAATTATCCTAATATTTATTTTAAAATGAGCAAAAATGTTCAGATTTTATTAATTAAAGTTGTATTTACAGTTAATTATATCCCCTTACATTACAATTTACATGTTTAAAGTCCTCCATTTTAATTTTATTTTAAATTTGCAGTCAAATCTTAAAACATTTAATGTAAAAACCCAACGTAAACTCCCCTTTATGTCATTAATAAACATATATACTGTATAAGAAAGGACATGTTGCTAGTCCTCAATGCTAGCTACAGCCTTGACTGGGATGGAGGCAGAAATGAACCTGGGCGAATAAAACCAAAACACATCTAGATACCATTAACATTCAGGTTTTTTTCTTTTGTAATTTGGGTGAACTGACCCTTGAAGGCAGAGAGTTTATTTTCAAATCATACTTTCACTCAAAATAGACACGTTTAACCGTTAAATGGTTTCACACATGATTTCAACTCACAGGGGCAGTTTTGTAAAAAAAAAAAAAAAAAAAAAACACACGGCTGTCAAGAGTATCTTGTCTCAATTAAAGTCCTTTTTAACACTTCATTTAATTTCCAAATACAGTAGTAATCACTTGACAAAGTCCCCACATCCTCAGATATGATCTTCCTAACCCTTTAAATGAGTCAAAGTGAATTATAGCTAATGGGTAAATCATTTAATGGGGAACGGAGTTTGACAGAGGAATTGGATTACAAACCAATGCTAAAAGCTGAGCCAGAGCAGCTGTTTTAGATAAAGCGTACACATGGGTCCTCCCTCCCTCCTCCCTTCCTCTAAAACACAAACTGTCCTCTCCCCGCCGCTCCTCTTGCTGGGCTGCTCCAACCACTCGCAGATACACACTTCAAAGTAGCCAGCGTTTTGGCACAGATAACATGTTTAGAGTGGAAACTTACTTAAAGTGGTCATAAGGCTAGCACTGTAAGGGAAAAAAATAAAAACATATAAATGAGAAATATACTTGGTTAAAGCTACAGGCTGTCCTCGGTGTATTGTAAAAGGCCTGTCCAGGAGGAAAGCTCCACCACCACAACATCTGTGCAGCAGCAGCAGCTCAGTGTCAGATACTTGTATTTGTGTTCCACATGAAAGAGCTTTAATAAAGCCTCTTTGTCAGCACATACAGCAATATCTGTCTGTCAACGCTGATCTGAGAACTTACTAGTTTGCAGGGGCGGTGCCAGAAAGGTAGCCAAGGGTGGCACTGCACCCCCCAACCCGGTGCCCCCCGTCCCACCAGGGTCAGAAAGTGATAGGTGGTTGGTTTGTTTGTATCATGGATGGATTACTGAACAGGACTACGGGGTACCGGACAACAACAAAGAGACACAAAACGACCACAAAGAGACACAAAACGACCACAAAGAGACACAAAGAGACACAAAACAACTACTAAAGACAGACAAAATGACAAAAAGATGCCAAATGACCAGAAAGATTCGTAAAAAGACTACAAAACAGCGACAAAGACACAAAAAGACTACAAGGAGACACAATACCACCAAGGAGAGATGTAAATCAACCAGAAAGAGAGGCCAAATGACCAGGAAGATTCATAAAATGAATACAAAGCGACCACGAACAAACACAAAACGAGCACAAAGAGAAGCAAAACTACTAAGAAGGGACACAAAACACAACACAGAACAACACAGTCTGTTGTCTTCCTCCTATATAGCAGGGTTGGGGGCCTTTTACATGTCTGTGTGCAGGGGCCCATTGTCTAATAATCTAAGAATTTGGTCTTTAAATTTGAGTCTTGACACATTTTCACTCATTTTACAAACATGTCCCAGTTTCTAACTCCGCTTGTTTGGAGCCTGTTTGCAGATGAAGGAGTTAACCAGTGAAATGTTTTCTTGTTTCCACCAATCCAGTTGTTTTGGATTTACACCCCCACTACACCTCGGTAGGAGGCAGAGAGTCAAAGTTCATCTGAGCAGGTTGACCTCCTCGTCCCCTCTCTCTTCCGGCTTCTTCATCCTTTGATCTTCTGGGGAAACCTCGAGGCTTGGAGCAATAATATTTCTTTAATTTCCTACTCTCTGATTAACAGCGCCCCCCCCCCCTCTGCTCTGCTTTGCGTTTAACCTCCACACGGTCACTTTTCAGAGGCACCTTCAATATCTGGCTTCGCTCACCTCACACTCATCTCGTATCAGAGGAGCAACAACTCTGAACACACTGGTTCCTTTTTGAACCGGCGTGCTCTTTAACTGTCAAGTGCATTACAGCCACAGTCTCATTTTTCACGGGAGGGAGAGAAAGTGCTCTGTTGGCGGGGCGACAGAGAGATTAACAAGACTGAGACGTAACTCAAGTGTCACATGTATAGAAAGAGATTAGTGCCAGAATCATTTAAATATGTTTAAATCACAGTTTGATCAATTATAAAAAGGTTCACTGCCTGCTGTAGTTACACGTCCTGTTAATATTTAACCATATTAAACTTTTTTTTATTTTATTTATAGTTTATTAAAGATCTGCATTACACTGAGAACACAAATCATCAGCATCCAGGCTGTTCCTTAATTTATTCCATTGTAATCTTTTTTATTGTCATTTTTATCTTAGTTTTTAAAATGTATTTTATCTAGTTTTAAAAGTATCCTGCAGTGTTGGGTGCAGGTTACCTGAATGAACCAACGTCTGTATGTTGCACAGATTATATTGATAATTGACTCTTTTGCACTTGCAGTGGTTCAGTGATTGGTGGCTCTCCACCGCTGTCTGTCTCCCCCAAGAGAAGGGGGCTCATCTCTGCCAGTGGCCGTGTATTTGTCAATAACAACAACAAATACTGTACATCAATAAATACTTTAAAATGTCCTTAAAATCTGCTTACACAACTACATTATAGTATGTTATAAACCATTTATTAAATCTTGATAAACTGCTCATACTTCATAAATAGCGGTTAAAGTGTTATTACTCATTTTTATAAGAATCTACATGCACAATAAAAATTTATCTCATCCAATTTGGGGTTATGAAACCTGCTATGACATAAACATGATATATTAAATGGATAAAAATAAAAGATATTAAAGAGAATCTGTCAGTCGTTAACTCTTAAAGTGATGGTGTTGAATAAATTAATTAAAAAGCTTCAACAGAAATAAACTGACTTCTATCAGTTTGAGTTCAGACTGTAATTTCTTAACAGGAACTTTCTACCACTGTTGATTCCTGAAGTTTAGTCCTTTATTTTATTTTATTTTTTTTAGTTCTTTACAGTCACCTGCTCCCATTGAGGTGGACACAATTAGCCTCAATGTGACCACAGTGGCAGGTGGAAACGAGCAGTAGCAGCACTGAGCACTAGAGTTGATATTAACATCAAATTCAATTTCATTCCTGTCGTCCAAAAGTCCAAAACAAACTTGACAAATTCACATTTCTACAACTCGAATGCAATCTTCACTGACACTGATCTCTTCCACAGATGTTCATCAGCAGCCGTGTGTCTTACTGACTCTGTTCAGTCGCTGTAAGTGCATTTAAAAAAAAAAAAACAGGAGCGTGGGCTAAAGCTAAAGCTGTATGCAGTTTATCAAAGCACAAAAGAATACGCTGACTAACTTTGCAGTCAAGCTTTGAAATATGTTGCTAATAAATGCGACGCCTGCACTCACCCACGCAGTCGCAGCACTCTTCCCAAAGGTTCCCCAGACACAGCATGCACTCCTTACAGCACGAACAGTTCCCATCAGACGGACGACACTGGCACAGCTCCTGCAGGACAACACACAGAAACATCAGCAAAACAGATACATGCAGAAACAACACTTCACTGTTTGTATTTCTGATTGAAAAGAAACTGAGATTTAAGCAGCAGTTCATTAGTGTGGAAGCAGACTGATTATAAAGAGGTGATCCTGAACATGATCCTTGGCAACAGGACACTTTTCTGGTACCTTTTAGCCTATTTAGGCTCATTATCTTTTGTGTTTTGTCTTTCCTTCCTCGTAGTTGGGATCCAACTGCTGTGTGTGCAAAAAATAATCACCACCTCTTTGTCTTACAGCGAACAGAAGTAATAATCAGTTCATGTAGCAGACTGACATCAGTTCAAAATCATTTTTACAAGCAATTTCTCAGAAAAAGTCACATAAATATCGATGTTAAAGCAATTACGTTTTAACATCCACGTTTTAGTAATTTATAGTACTAGTAGTGTTTTTAGTAGAGCTGCATGATCATATAGTTTTATATTAATTTGACAGATATTGTGATATATGATTCACAATTCCCCAACTTCTTCTTCATCTTCCTCCCCTGTACCTACAGGTACTGGTGCGTACTGTACTGGTACACTGGAAAGATCAAATACGGAAGACTTACGCTGCAGTACGCAATAATCTAAAGCGTTACCGAGTTAAAAAGGTGAATACAAACAAGTAAACTCAACAGGGACATTTTTTAAATTTCTGAGCTTTATTATTGAGTCTTTAATTGTAAAAAGTCCAAATGTTGTTGTATTTTTCTCCTTTTTTTACATAACTCTGTGTTTCAAAATACTTCAAATCAATCAAAAATTGGAGAATGCAACAGTCGATCCCACACAAACATCAAATAAAGGCTCATTTTCAAGTATAAGAGATCCTGGTCTGACAGTTAAAAGTCCCACAGCAGACAGAAAACAACACGTAGACCCGCTGAACAAACAGGACACGTACCATTAAAACATCAGCAGGTTTGCTTCATGCACAGTTACTATTACCGGACACAAGCCGTTAACAAGACAACTGTGTGGTTTCTATTGACGTCTACAGAACTCTGTGATAACCTCCGCTATCTTTCCATTCACGAACAGAGCAGGTTCTGACACGTCAAAAAAGGTCACAGCATTCAAATCATTTCGTTGAATGGTTTCACTCTGAGGCTCAGTGGGCGGCACTGACTGACAGTAAATACTTTACTTTAGTACTTCACTTATCTGACAGCTGTAGATACTTTTCAGATAGATATGGTCAGTTTATTAAATATACATTACTGTAGATTAAACTAAATAAAAGTAGCTCTACTCTTGGCAACATTCAGATGCTGCTTAAACGATGATGAATTAAGAATAAAACTCCAATAATTAATATATAATAAATGCTTTGAATGGAGCCACACAAGAGTACTTTCACATTTGCTCCTAAAACATGTGTTTACTTAAGAAACACAGGCCGTTCACTTATTAAATGGATCAGGTATCGGCTGACTGACATCAATCTACATTAAATACAGTTCTGCACACGGCTGACGACTCTTTAACTCAACAACATAATATAGCACTGTTTGATGTCTCTGTAACATCTGCCAACACCTATAACAGTCACCTTTTAATTTAATACATATATATAATTTATTACACGCACATTATATATTATATTAAACCTGTACTGTATATTCGTAGCCCAGTTTATAGCCTATATTTCCTCTAAACTATACTACTGTATATATTTCATCTTGTGTAATTACATTTATTTTTACACCTTGCCACTACCTCCTGCTGTGACCTGTGCAATGTTAAATATTAATCACATCTGTACATAAAAAGCCGTATATATAGTCTATTTTTTGTATATCTTGTATTTTCCTGTTACATTTTTATTTAATATGTATTTCCTATCTGTTGTGTTGTATCTGGAGCTGCTGTAGCAAGTAGCAAATTCAGTATTTTCAGTTACAATTCCTGCTCGTGTTACATTAAAGTGAGTGATAAATGAGTTTCATGCAGTACGATATGCATATTTTAAATTAGAGTACAAGAGAGCGCTGGTATGAGATCAGTTCTTGGTATCGGCAAATCAGATGGAGGTTTCTTTGACCCTTGAACTCTATTATTGGTGTCCCTGAAGATTTTCTCTGCTTCACTCATGAGCAGAGAGATATTACTGCCTCTCTCTCGTAGCCCTGCAGGGTTATTTTACCTAACTGGATCAAAAGCCTCCAGCTCCTAATTCTTGGCTTAAAGACTTAATGTCCTTCCTATACTTAAAGTATAAGTTAAGTACAGTATCGGAGGCTGCTCCAATCATTTTAACAAAACTTTAGATCCTGTTCTTTTCTTTAATAATTCTCTTTCTTCTTTGGAGGATTAGTATTATTTATTTAGTCAGTCTTTAAACAGAACAAACTGTATCTATAGGATTTGGTCGTACAGCCCATTGTTTAAAACTACTATATTTCTTTTCTTTCCTCCCATATGCATGTTTTCTGTCGATGCAAGTAAAGCTGCGCAATCTGGTAAAAACATCACATTACGATATGACTGACTGATGAATTTTGCATCATACATTTTATTTTCACTTAAAAAAAACGTTTAAAATCATAAAGATGTGATGTTTTTGGAGGGTCTGTACCAAACAAGCAGCACTACAGTACTTCATTATAACACTATTTGTCACATTTGACCTTTATCAAACAAACTGCAGCTTCTGTGTTTTGCATTTTGCACTTCGGTTTGTTGAAATTTCAATAATATTGGCATTAACTGTGTTCTTGTGCAGGCGGTGGTGGCGGAGTCGGTCTGTTATCTGTGTTCTTGACGTGTGTATTGACGCAATAAAGTAAATTAAAAAAGTATCTGCAAATGCCTTGAGTAGAGGAATCTGACACAACATCGGAAAATAAAAAGTTGCATTAGTGCTTCCAACTCATGACTCAGACATATTTAAAACAGTTCACAACCTGCCAGCAAAAGAAACTAAATCAAGGATAAAAACGTTGTAATATCCACAAACTGAGGGTTTACAGCATGTAGAGAATTTGCCTCTATAGCCGGTGTTTATGCTGATATTATGTCAGGCGATTTAAGTGACTTTAAGGTTCACTGGGTTCATTTTTGTAACTTCACTAACAGAAAGAAGAAAAAAAAAAGAGAAAAAGCTCTTGCTGAGAATTTCTCATGTTGCTTTTTATAGAAGTAATATTATTACTTCAGCTACCATCCAAAAACATGAAACCTCTGCTGAGCCCATAACTCTTCTGCAAACACTTAACCCACCTTCATTCCTCAACTCTCAGTTTGTCTCTGGAGGGGGGGGACAGACGCAGAGACAGTGAAGGGAAACTAAACGTGTAGGTGGGATTGAAAAGTGGGTGAAACTGCCAGAGGAGTTCCTCTCTCTCCCCCCCCCCGCTCTGTTCTCTCCTGACACAGAACAGGGAGCACATTCCTCTAAGTCAAGGTCACCGCAATGAAGGAGGTGGGAGGTGGGGGAGAAACAGTGGGAGGGAGAAGAAAACACCTGGAGAACAGAACATGCCCCCCCCCACCAACAACACTTTCCCCCCTCGCTTTTCTTCTCCTCCCTCCTCCTTTTTATGCTCTTTTCCTCCACATGTTCTCCCTTTTGCTATGTTTTTTTACCCTCCTCTCACCCCGCTCCTCCTTTATATCTTCGCAGAAGCCATCTCCTGCACGTAAACAGCCTCTGCAATGATAAAAGACACTGCAATGACTCACCAGTGAGGGATTGCAAAACCACACACAGTTCACTTAATCACCAGCCTCTCGATCCCAAAACCTCTGATCAACATCTGATCCCATGAGTAATTATGACTCTCAAAGGTGGAATTATAAAAAATAAAAAACTAAACAGCTGCCCCGAGAGGAAAACATGCATCTCATATTTCACAAATCAGAAAAAGAAGAAAAATTACTTTTTAAAGTCATTTCATTTTAATAAAAGAGGGTTTCATTTACATGTAGCTGGGGCCAGGAGGAGGAGGAGGAGGAGGAGGTTAGTTTATATAACATACTTATTTCACTTTCTTTAGATTAAGATGAATTGGCACATTTCCCAAAATGTCAAACTACTCCTTTAAAACAAGAAACAAAGCAAGAAATGAATCTGAGTGTGTTCACCGATTTGTTTCAGGCTGGTAGCAACTTAAACTCACACAAAGCTAATAATAACACAGCGTTCCTTTCCTTATGTTTCAGTCATTAATCTTAATAAACACAAACAGAAAACTATGGCGACCGAATTAAAGCTGCAGGAGGTCATTTTTATAAAAGTATTTTCTGTCCCATTTGCTGAAACTTTCACTATATCCTGACAGCAGAACACGAGACAGATTATCTGTGGAAGAAGCAGGTTCCTCGGACTCGTTCTAGCACTCCTAATGACGTTTGCAAGAATCCACCGGGCCCGAACAAAAGCAACCAATCAGAGCAGAGAAAGATCATTGATTTTGAGTTTTATTCCCAGGGTATCAAATACAGACACTTTGGGACTCTGGGAATGAGACTCAAGAATCAACTATCTTCAAGCCTCCAACCCCAAAGCGTCTTTATATCTTTCTCAGCTCTGATTGGTTGTTTTTTGCTTGGGCCCGGTGGATTCTTGTAAACGTCATTAGGAGCACTAGAACGAGTCAGAGGAACCAGATCTTTTCACATGTTATCTGTCTCGTGCACTCCTGTCAGGATATAGTGAAAGTTTTAGCAAACAGGACAAAAAAAAAAGTTTATAAAAGTTCCCCAGTGTAGCTTTAAAACATGAAAACATCCACACGCAGAACAAAACCCCCATCGACTGGTTCCAGCTGCAACTGGTGCTGAAACATTTAGTCCAGAAACAACAAAAACTCGATCAACACTGACTCTGACAATCGATTAATCAGTGTTGTCAATCTCTGGTTGAAGCTTCTCCAATATAAGAATTTGCTGCAATTCTTTGAAAGTAAATCTTGAATCTCTTTTGGTTTTAGTCTGTTTGGACAAAAGAAGCGACCACGCCGTCACCTTTCTGCCATTTTACAGAATAAACCATCGTAAAACATCGTAACAGTTTGTAGTTCAGCCCCCCCCCCGACACAGAAAAGGGACGAGGTCATCTCGACCACTTTCTCAATTAGGGCGGAAACTGCTGCAATCAGTGAAAACTCAGCCGCAGCGAGACAAAAGGACTGCGGGGAGAAAGTGAACATGTGCTGCCTCGTCCTGCTGAGCGACCGCCGCTGTGTGTTAACTTTGAAATCTGCTGCCACACCCTGCTAAACAGCCCCGGCCTGGACAGAGTTGTGGCTTGTGGATCTCAACCCAACTGTATATTTCCCTCAACCAACCTCCCCCCACAGACATACACACCTCCTCCTGACCTTAGCCTCCCCCTCCCTCCCTCCCTCCCCTCTCCTCCTCTCATGTTCTCCCACCCTCAGGGGTTTTGGGGAATTCAGACAAATGACTTGAGATGGCAGCAGAGCGTAAAAAGCGAACGTCGGACGGCAGATCCCACTAATCACTAGCAACATGCAGCGTCTAGAGGCGAAGGAAAAAAAAAGTTTCTCCTTCACGGCACACGCACCATCGCTCTCGCCTCTGACAGCTAGCGAGTTGGTGTCGGCAGGGTCGCGGAAACTACAGAGCTTTGTTGTCCCGAGCAATGATTCATCAGGCGAAATAAGCCACCTGGAAGCAAAGAAGAACAATCTGTAGATCACAGGAGGGGAGCTGATGTTTGGTTTGTGCCCAACACATGACTGTAGAAAAAGGCTGTAATCTATAAAACAAGAAGGGGCCACTAGAGATTTTATTTCCTGTAAAGTTGACCTTTTTAAAGTGGTGTAGAAAATGTAATATTGTTCTTAAATCTTCTGTTTCAGGACTGTAAGAGAGCGAACAATGTTATCCTCGTGATTCATTTATTAGCTCACTGACAACTGAAAATGAATCAATCTTAATAATTGCAATAAAACTATATATTTGCTGGTTCCAGCATTTTAAATGTGAGAATTTGCTGATTTTCTCTGCTTTAATCCATTAAAATTTGAATAACTTTGGGTTTTTTTCTGGCTTTTCGAATAAAAACAAGCAATTTGAAAACGTGTTTCTGTGTCCTGCTAAATTTCAATGAACATTATTCATATTCTCCTGCGTCTTGATCTTCTGCTTTAACTCACAGTGATGGTTCCTCCTTTAAGAGTTACGTTTAACAGAATATAAGTAAGTATTTATGTTCTCCGAGGAGCCTGTTGTATCGTTAAAGGCTGCTGCTAAAGGCGAGTTTCCCTTGAAGCAACACAACATTTACACAACAGGCTGGATTACAAAGAGGGAAACTTCCCAGGGGCCTCAGACCTTTCACTGAGAGCCAGTTAGTTTTTGGTAACTTAATCAATTGTACAGTTGTTAAAGAATCTTAACCACTAAACAAAGACGATACTGGTTAACAGGATAACTAGACCATGGACAGGAAGTACTTGCATCAACAAATAATAATAATAATACTTTATTTAGTTTCAAATTAGTGCTGCAACTAGAGATTCTTTTTAATGTTGATTACTTTTGTATGGTGACAAATTACTTGTTTTGTTCAGAAACAGTTAAAAACCCAACAGATCTCACAGTTTACAAGGTTTTATCAAAGAGAAAATCATCAAATCCTCACACGTAGAACTAGTAAATGTTTGCAGCATTAAATCAATAATCAGAATTATTGCATATACACTTTCTGTCTGTGCCAGTGGTAAATATACACACTATATAATAATAATAAACATCGATTCTAGACGAGGAACCTCAATAAATGCAATAAATAATCCTAAAAAAAGTAATTATTATTAATATTAGTCAGTTGATTCAATTAATGGACCTGCTGCCTCATTCATTCTGACTGTTCTCCACACCTCCTTTCCAAACGGCGACTACCTGCAGCTCACTCGCACTGAGGTCACACAGGTGAAATGGCCACTGAGGTTAAATACGGTGCTTTAAACGATGTTAATGGGAGAGGCAGGGCCATTAAAACACACACACACACACACACACACACACACACACACACACACACACACACACACACGAGGACAAGCAGCAGCTTAAATATGACTTGACATGTGTTGGAAGGACGGGCCAACACTTCATGTTGTCCCTGAAAAATAACACGAATGCATTACAGAGTGTGTGTTAACTGTGGGGTACCACCCCTCTGCCCCTCACCCACCGGGCTCCAGACGGGAGAGGGAAAGAGTGACACACAGGAAGTGATGCCAGAAAGTCAACTACAGTCAAAAAGTCAGAAGGGTTGATGTGAACATAAAATCAAAGCACTGCAGAGCACTTTCTCCCACGATCCACTGCTCTACAACGGCCCTGAATCTGACCTGTACAGGTAGAGAACAGGTGTGCATGAAGTCAGATTTAGATCTCTGCTCCTCTGCTGCTCGCTCTGGGAAGAAGAAGAAGGGGAAAAAAACCCTTTCTCCCAGACTTCGCTGGCTTATCGAAGGAATGTATCTGCATTCTTCACAACAGATTCCATCTTTGTTCTCCGGTCCAGATCTCCGTCAGGACACGAGCCGATTTTAACTCGACTTTTGGCTACTGCTGGATATTTGTTTTTTATGGGAAGTACTTGGACAAAACGGAGACGTAACAACAGCTGAATCATATTTCCTTTAGCCCGCCAGCCGAAGGAATGCTACTGCGTAGTTTTTGAATCCGTCCTGCCAGTTTTATGCCAATTTAAACAGCATTAAAAAACAAGTTGTGTGGGGGGGGGCTTCTTTTCGACAGCTCTCCTGTCGCTCTCGGGGCTCGAACTCAACATTTAATTTCTGTTCTCTGTCGCAGAGAAACAACAAGTCTCTGTTTACACAAAACAGCTGTAACGCTGTAGGATGAAAAGCTTGAACTTGGTTGCTCTCACATCAGTATTTCCCACTTTAATCAACAGAAAAGCTCAGTTGAGTTCGGGGGCCACTCGTGACATTAGATTATCTGTCTGCAGCCGTAACCTCACCTTGCACATTTATAGGACAATCAGAGGGGATTTTAGAGGATGCAAACCACATTTATATGTAGTTCAACACCAACAAACTGAACTCCAGACATTATAATCCAAGTTAAAGTATGAGAAACTGCTAGTGAGGTGGTCTAACTTTACAGATTCTTTCAGAAAAAGAGCCCCCAGGAGAGGAAGGAGGAAGTGTTTGTGTAACTCCAACCCTTCAGCATCCATCGCTCTCAGACAACACGTGGAAAACCTCGGCGTTCCTTTACCTGGATGAGACATTTGCTGACGTCGCTCGCGCAGAGGGCCTTGTTGCAGCCGGAGGTCAGAGACAGCCCTGATAGGAGGAAGAGGAGAGCGGCGGCGGCGGGGAGGACGATCAGCTGACCAGGCTTCATCCTGATGGCTCACCAGCACGGCACTGGAAACACCTGCATCAACACAAAACACAGGGACCTCAGAGGCAAACAAACAAAACCTCAGCGCTGACATTCCTCTGGAGGAAGAACGTGAAGAGCTGCATGAGAGATAATAAAAGAGAAATGCGTTGAATATGTAAAAGAGCAGAGAGTGTTTCCTCATGCTGAGCTGGAGTTGCTTTTTTATGCCAAACTGTGTGTTTCTCTTTGTATCCTGATGAGTATATAACAGCTCTAATGAATAATGGGGGGGGGTTAACCTGCATTCCCTTTATTTATGTGCTTCATGCAGCACTGTGAGATCTGAAATCTACATTTTGGTGCTCTAAAATCAAACACAGGAACTAAAAGTGCAGCAAAAGTCAATAAAAATGTGTTTTTAAAAAAAAAAAGTTTAAATCACAACTTTATCCTACAAAAGCAGCTCAAACTTTAACATCCATCACATTTCTAAAAGGCCTGCGTCACATTTCATTCAAAGCCAGCTCTCACTCACGTTACTGTGGAATAACAACACACACACACATCTGGCAACATCAGCTTCCTTCACCTATTTTTTTTTTTTTTTTTGCCTCCTCGAAGTGTTAACACAGTCTAATCCCATCGCTCCGCTTTTTTTTTTTTTTTTTTTTTTACCACTTCGCCACTCTCTCGCTGCACATTGTTCCAGTTTCACAGGAACATGTGAGGAACATTAGCTCCCTGAGTCATGAAAACCTCTTCACCTCCTTTTTCAGCTCATCGCTAACTCACCAAAACTTTTGCTTGAACTCGCACGCATCCGCGAGAGAAACCGAGCGCAGCTTTAAAAAAAAAAAAGAAAGAAAAGACAAGAAAAACGGCGAAATAACGAAAGCAGAAGAAGTTTTTAAAAACTCACCACAACGCTTGTTAACGAGCTCACGACTTATCTTCTTTTTTTTTTTTTTAAGAGTGAGTTGTGGCTGTTTTTTCCTCTTTGAACTTCTCCAGGATGGTGTGCTGCCGCCGCTCAAGTGTCCACTGTGTCCAGAGGGCGTCAGTCTCTCCGCAGCAAAAAGCGACAGGCAGTCGGGCGCCTTAAAGGCACACACTCCATTTTCTACCCAACGTCTGTGGAGGAAAACACCGGGCCTCAGGTCACACACACACCGGCTGAGTGTCCTCAGGGTGAGGGACATCAATGATCCGCCTCACAGCGCCATAAACCGACAAACATTCACCGACTGCGCCCGCTGGAGCTGTGCGTAAAAACTCTTGCGCGTCTTTTTTTTTTTTTTTTTTTACCTCTTTTAAGCCAGACTCCGGCCATTGCTCGCCTGTCCAGGTGGGCTCTGTTTGTCCTCTTTCACACAGGCAAATCTTGTCTTTACAAGCCACCCCCACTCCATTACACAGCCCTTTGTCTCCGGGCTTATCAGCGGCCTTGTGAGTGCGCACATTAGGTGAGAAAAGGCCGATTCGGAAGCTCTGAAGTCGGGCACACTCCCCGCTGAGATGCGTCTCCGCGCTCGTTTGTAGCGACTGCGCAGAAGAAGCCGCTCTGATTTTCACTCCACAGGTGTTTACAAGTTCATCAGAAACCACAACAGCCCCCCCCCCACACCACTTCCAGCCTTGTAGGGGAGGAAGAGGAACAGACACACCTTCAGTCAGAGGCAGGGACATTTAAATCTCAATCAGAGGGGACTCATTTAAATAAAAGTCACATTGTTTCACCCTGACAAAGTTATTCCGGCATCTAAACAAGTAAAAAAAGCTTTATTTATGACGTTGAGTTAAGAGGAAGTGTGCTCATTGCTTCCAAATGATGGTTGTGGGATTAAATGAGCTGTTTGGTTTGAGACAGTGACTCAGGTGAACTAATTCCAGAGCATATTCCTGTGAGAATGACTCAAAGATTAAAAAACACCGTCATGTGTTCATCTGTCTCTGAGTTTACTGAGGTGAGCAGACAACAGATTACAGTCTAATGTAACAACAACACAATAAATCCACCGATCAGTAGTGTGTGTAAAGTTCAGTTGTTGTTTCTTGTTGATGTAAATGGGAATAAAACAACAACAGACATACATATGTTCATCTACTACAGTATACAGTGTCAGTATGTGTCACTTTAAGAGTGGTGGAAGAAGTATTAACATGTTTTATTTAGTAAAAGTACAGAAGAATTACCAGTTAAATGTGTTTAAAGTATCAAAGGTTAAAGTGCACATTATATTGATCAGACGTTTTATTGGAATAATATTTCTGATTCATGAGTAAGCAGAACTTTTATATATAAGTTTGCTTCTTGTTGCTGTTTAAGTTTGTTTTGTTGAACTTTAAATAAAAGTGAGATGTAGAAATTTGAAGCCTCCACTTCCTCTTGTCAGTAGTTAAAACTTCTTATATGAACAATATTTCTCTATTTATAGATTATGGATTAGAGGAAGGAGCGGATATGATTGTAGGAATCTTTAATTAAATAATTCAACATTTTTGTAGAAAAACCAAATCAGACATAATTATTATTATTGAGTAATTACTCTTAAACATGTCTGTAGGGAAACCTTTAAATATTATAAAACAGTATTTACAGCAGTGAACTGACAATTACATCATCTCCCTAAAAACATATTAAAAGGTCAAAACACAAAAAACGGTTTAAAATTATTTAAAAATGTACTTTTAAAATTGCATTTACCTGCATTAATACAGCCTCAGATATATAAAGTGGTTTTATTTACACTTTCTATGATCAGCTGTGACACTAATGTCTGATATTCTGGGAGCTGATTGAGTACAGCGACATCTACTGGCCGAGACCGACACTGCAGCAGCTCTGTAACCTTAAAATCAAATCTCTTCTAAAGTTATTAACTTGTAAATAATCTATTAATCAGTCTGTGAAATGTCAGGAAACTCTGAAAGATGTTCAGTGAAATTTCTCAGAGCTGAAGGAGACATCTCGTTTTTAATGTCCAAAACAAAAAAGAAACACCTAAAATATAAATGTATGATTAGAAAACATAAAAGCAGCAAATTCTCCCATTTAAGAAGCTGAAACCAGAAATTATCTGATTGTTTTCTAGATAAAGAATTATATTGTTGATCGGAATTGGTTCCAATAATTAACTATCTATTGATTGATTATTTCAGCTCTTTCTGGATTAATGACACCAACAGCAGCACTTTTAATTTCACAACAAATAAAATTTATTCAATTATATATTACAAATATGTACAAGTCATGTAACAAGTAAATATTAAAATAGACATTTTTTAGAACTATCGTTCAAAAAGGCATTATGTTGAAAAAATAGGTTTTGTTGTGATCTCACATTGAAACTGTAAAAGTAAGTTGTTGTTTTGTTTTTTTGTTTTTTCCTTTCTTTCCTTGGAAGCCACAACAGACTTTAATGTGCGCGAGACACAATGGACAACACATGAGGAGTGAGGCCGCAAGAAAGGACATAACACAACGGCGCAAAAAAACCAAAAAAAAACCCAACAGAAAAACAAAAACAAAACAAAAGAAAGAAGCTGGAACACTTCAGTAAACCTCACAATTAAGTCCACATTACAGCTTTTTAGGAAAAAAGTACAAACAACGCAACGCATGCACAGCATTTAATTGCCAAAAAGTCAAAAAACACGAGCTGTGGCGTGGAGTTCCAGATGAGGAAGGAAGAAACGGGAACAAAAATAAAACAAACAAACAACAAAAGCCAACACATGCTTAAAGAGTTTTAAGCCAACGACAACAAGAACATCACGGACGAAGAGGACACTCGATATAAAAACCAACTTTGGTCCATTAAAACATGAGACAGAACAAGAGTTTTACAATCAAAATATCTATTATTTTTTGTTTTTACAAGTTTAAAACAATAATTACATGACTATTTACAAATGCACAATTGTTTTTTGTTTTTATGTATAAAATAAGTTAAAAAATTAAGAGCACAGTCTGTACACAATGTATGAACAACTCACTTTTGAAAACAATTGAACTCTTTCAGTTGTGTGACCCTGCTTGAGGAGGAGCTCCCTTCAACCCAGCTTTTGGTCTCTGCTCTCTGGGCTTCATCTGTGGACCTGGACCCCCTTCTTTTTTTTTTTTTTTTGCCCCCTCGTACGACGAACCGTCAGTCTCCCCCGGGTTCCCCGTCCTCGTGGTCGGCGCCGGTTCAGACAGTAAGAGCTCAGGAGTAAAAATCATCTCTCGTGTTCCCGCCACATTCTAAGTGCTTCATATTTTTCCATCTCCTTTTTTCCTCGAATGTGCGCGGGGGGGGAGAAGGAGCTGCTCGCCTCTCGTGTCCGTAGCGCTGGGCCGCCGCTGTGGCAAAGCACGTCTGTCCTACAGCTCATATCGGGGTGAGGTCAAAGTCGTCGTTGACCTCCACGAGCGGGATGTAGAACTCGGGGATCTCGAAGATACTGGTGGACTTGTAGGTGGCCGGGTCCAGCTCCTGCAGTTTGAGTTGCCACTCCAGACGCTGCACGGCGTTCAGGGCCGCCGCCTCGTGCTGCTGCCTCATCAGAAGACACGTCTGTGGAGGGAAAAAGGTGATCATTTGTTATCCGTCCAGAATTCCAAAAAATGGATTATAAAATGATGTTATTAGGGGTCAATACTGATTGAAATATCTCCAGTTGTCGTATCTAAGTTTGTCCTATTTACTGGAGTAGTGAACAATATTTCTATTCTGGGATTCTTCCAGGTATTAGCCAAACCCTCAGGTGATACCAGGAAAATGGGAGTTATAGCTGGAGAAATTTTGACTGCAAAACGCATTAAAATCTAAAATGTTATGACATTCTGGCCTCCATGTTGTCCATTACCTCCCGATAATAGACGCTATCTCTCCTACCACACACACACACACACACACACACACACACACACACACACACACACACACACACACACACACACACACACACACACACACACACACACACACACACACACACACACACACACACACACACACACACACACGAAATATCAGAGGGTTTGACCTTCCAACGGGAAATTAAACTGGTCACAATTAAAGTTTGTAACCTCAACAGAATCTTATCAGCTGTTCTTTCGCTTCGTGTCCAAGAAATCTCGATTCCTCTCCCAGAATCTACCGACGTCAGGTAACAACTGTAATGTCACAGACTAACCCAGTGATCTGCAGCATTTGTGCTGTATCCAGTGTGTGTGTGTTTACACTTTTAGCTGTATAACTCTGCCAGGAGCTCAGTTTACGTACACAGAGAACAACATCCACTGTTGTTTGTTCAAGTAATCTTGTTTTCAGTTGATACAGTTGTCCAAACAAGCCGGTTAATACAGTTAAGATGTCCTGTCGTGTGACATTTGCAATCTTCCAGGACTTAATCTAGAAAAATCTCCGGTGTTAATTAGTAAACATGAAAGATCTACAGGGCGTGTTCGTCACTAAAAACAATTAATCTCACCTTCAGTTTATCAAACTTGTCGTCGACATCTTGTAACCACGACATGAACTGCCTGGCGTTGAATCGGTCTCTCACTGACGTTTTGCCGTCGTCGCTCTGTGAACACAAACGCACAACAACTTAACACACACGCACAGTATTTTCTACACGTTATGGTTCAGAGGTGACCGAAAGCGAAACACTCACAGGTGCAACGTGTGACCACTGCTCCGCGGCGCTTACCTGCGCGTCTTGAGGCATGTTGTAGACTTCAGCATCCAATAGAACTGTGCAGGCACTGAAAGGCAGAGTCTGATTGGCCAGTGTCCTTGCTGCCCGGTAATGGACTCTTAGGACTTCCTGTTCATTTGAAACAATCAGCTTTTCCTGAAGGAGGAGGAGGAGGGGGAGGAAGAAAGTAACACTGTAAATCTGATCTTTAATTGTACTGTAGCAAGCATCTTAAGCACTGGTATCCTGTTAAAAGGTCTTCAAGAGGGGATAAGAACATGAGTTTTCGGGTTTTGTTCCATTTCAGCTGCGAGAAGTGGCACTTAAAATGTCTAGAGGCACTCAACCCGACCGAAACCAAAAGCTCCAGGAGTAAAAGTACGTACCCTTTCAATGCTGTGCTGTAGCCGTAGTTTCATACGGACGACCTCTTGTTGTTTGAACATCTCTTTCAGCTGCTCGGGTAGTGACGGAGGTGGAGTTATCTGTTCCAACAATGGAGAGGGAGACGGTTCAATGTGACGACTGATGAGTTATCAGATATCGAATCAGAAGAATACTTTACTTTTGATTGAATATTTAAACTTTTGTGTTTCCTCCGAATTTTTACAAACCAAGAGGAACAAACATATATAGAAATATAACTCTTGTCTCAGCAGTGTGAACTCTCAAATCCCTCTGTTGGTCTACTTTGCTTTTAGACCACAAATTAAGCGAATAAGATTATGTGAGAAAGTCTCTGTACAGTCGGTCCAGATCGGCCTGAACAAACTGAACTAAACAGGAAACCACAACAGAGTTTAAACTGAACCAAACAGGTTAAGTATGAAAAGGTCCTCAAGATAATTTATATCTAATTCATATTCAAGTAAGTTTGACTTTGAGAAAGACATAACACTAAACACTGGGGATGAGCAAGTTCACTCTTATCTGTATTTGTTCAAGCAACTAAGTTATCTGAATTCTTGTTGATTTAATCCTGAAATTGATTTCAAGTTGATCAGAAGCTGCTTTATATATAACAGAACAAGTCTTTTTAAATAAAAGTTGCTATATTTACAAGTACAGACACATCAAAGTACTCACTAAATCCTACTAAACACATCAAATTAAAGTCAAAATTAAGATATGGGGCCAAAACAACATAAAAACGTGTGCAAAATGATATAAAAGAGTGGATTCATAACATTATAACAGAAAGGAACAACTCACTGTTGGTATGCAGAGCTTGCTGAGCGGGTTCCCATCTAAGAGGTAGGATCCGTTGAAGGTCACATATTCGTCATAATACTGCGGCGGTTGAGGGGTGACGCTGCACAACACTTTGCGCTTCTCCTCGATCTTCTTCCGGATGTGCAGGAACTCGTAGTAAGGGTTGGCCCTCTCCGTCTGGTAGGGCTGGATCTCCTCCAGCTTCACAGAGTCCACAATAGCAGCCAGAGACTGCTGACCTCTCTCCCTGTCCTGCTGAGTCGTGGAGCAGGACTGCAAGGACGACACTTTAGGCATCTTTCTCTTGCGTGGATGCGGCACGTGGACGTCCACGTCCTCATCCGCAGAGCGAACCTTGACCTTCGCCCCCGAAGAATCTGAATCCCGGTCTCCAGATTGAGGAGAGGAGCTCCCTGAGGTGCTGGTGCTGAAGTCTGTCTGAGACCCCGACTGGATGGTGCTTTGACTGTGCTCTTCTCCAGACGAAGACGACTCTGGTTTCTCGTCGGCAGGGGTCACCTCCATCGACTCTGAGCCGGCCTCTGCTTTGGACTCAGAAGAGCTCTCGGTAGCCATGCTGCCCTCTGCTGACGAACTCTCAGTTGTGGCAGGAACAGCAGCGCCGCTGTTCTCTGAACTCTGTGAGACGTCCATCATCTCTTCAGCCTTGTGTTCAGGGCTCGCACTAGAGGATGACGCCGGGGGCAGACTGTCCTTCTTCTCCATCTGAGCATCGAGACATGAACCTGTAGTGTCGCTGTAAGGTCTTGATTTCTTGCAGTCTTGGTTGTTTACATCCATGTCCTCTTGCGAACATTCAGACTCGGAGCTTGTTTTGCTAAAGCCCGGCAAGGATTCTCCTGAAGTGCAGCTGGGAATGTGCGAACTGGTGGACGGTACAGGACTTCCTACAGCCTCCGTTCTGAAGCTTTCTGAAACGGTTTCCATATTCTCTTGTTCTGCTCCATCGGCACTCTCCAGAGGTTTGTCTTTAAGGTCAGGAACATGTGTGGTAACTGATTCTGTCTGCTGCAGAGTCTCCGTATCAGAAACAGTGAGCGGTTCCCTTTGCTGGAGGGTTTTTGTGTTTGTGAGTGCCGTCGGCTCAGCAGGTACACAAGTTGTAGGTATCGATGGCTGATCAGAGTCTTTGTTTACACAATCTGCCTGTGAAATCTCCGTCAGACTCTGGACGTCCTTCGCAACAGGGGCATCGGGGGAGGAAACAGTTTTCTGCTCTGTTGACCCCGTTTGAGAGCCACTACACTCTGGAAGTGTCAGGTTTTTAGTCTCGGGGTCTTTGCTTGACATTTGAGGTGTTAAACCACCAGTAGTGCTCACTTCTCTTTCCGTGACAGAATCAGCGGCTGAAATCGGACATTGTTGACTGTTGAGACTCTCCTCAATTTCTGCCGAGGTCTCTCTCGTTCTCGCCTCCTCAGTCGGCTGGCTGGGTTTTGGCAGATTTTCAACAGCTTTGCTTTCGGTCGACGAGTTGGCATCTTCATCGAGAATAGCTCTGAGGTACGGTGATTCATGTCTGCCGGACAGCAGCGTCCGATTACTTTGCGGCACATCTGGAAGACTGTTGCAATCCTTATCGTGGACAGACGGCGATCTGGTGGCTTGAATGACGAGGGAAGACTGGAGGAATGCGGGTTGAGAGTCGGAGGCTTCCAGGTTCATGTCGGAGTCGTATTCAACGTGTCTGGGTGTCAATGTCGTCGCCTGACATGAATCCTCTGAGCTGGCGACGGAAACCAAGGACACAGACCTGGACATGAGGCAGCGTTCGCTCTCTGGTCTGGGTGATCTGGTCAGACAGTTTTCTACAGCTGACATGACCTTTGCGCCGATAGAGGGCAGACTCTTCCCATCGAGTGACATCGTCCTAGAGCTGGTGCCGTCCTTCAGGGGTTTATCTCTGCTGTGGACATCGGAGGCTTCAGAGCTTTTTGAGCGCATCAGCTCTTTACTCAAGCAAGGTTCGGTCTTCGTTCTGTCTTTGGTCTTAGACTTTCCCGGATCAGCCAGAGGCCGCTGTTTAAGCCTTTCCCGCTCTTTTTGTTTGATTTTCTCCAGGTGTTTGCGATGCCACTGCTCGATCTCCTGGTCCTTCAGGCTGAGCATGCGCTCAAAGCTGGTCTGCATCAGATCATCATTCACGAGCCTCTTCTCTTTGGGCTTGGTGTCTCGTGTTGCTGGCGAGGCTTTTGATTTGGCCTTGTCCGCGTCTGTCTCGTTGGGTTTGGCCTTGCTGATTTTGGCCTGCTGGGAGCGGTCTTTGTGTCGGTCCTTATCCTTTTCCTTGTGTTTATCCGAGTCTCTGTCCCGGTCCCTCCGGTCGCGATCCTTCTCTGGTGTTCTCACAACTTCCTCCTTTGATCTAGTAGATAAGGACTTGCTGCTCTCGGACAGATAACTCTTCTTCTCTTCTAAAAGTAACTTCAGATTGGAGCTTGAGGAAGTCCCATCTTTTATCTTATCTCTCTTCTTCCTGTCACAGTCCTTTTCTTTGGAACGATCAGATTTACCATGATCTGTGGTCTTCTCCAGAGGTTTTCCTTTCTTTTCAGAGTTTGTGCGTTCCTTTTCTCTGTGATCCCCAACACTATATTCTCTGTCCTGCCTTTCCCTATCAGACCGTTTGTCAAACTTATCTTTATTTTTTCTGCCCTCCTCATGCTTTTTTGTTGTGGATAGAGATTTCAGTTTTTCATTCTCTTTGTAGTTTTTATCTCCGGGCGAGTGGGAAGAAATTGCTCCCGTTCTCTCTTTTTCCTTCCAACGATCCACTGAATTCTGTGGTTCAGCTTTGTCGGAGTGCTCCGTTTTGACCTTTTTTTCCTTTTCAGGATGCCTTTTCTCCATTTTTTCTGAATCCTTCTCCTTTCCTGGGAGCTTCTTGTCAGTTTTCTCGCGCAAGCCTTTTTCAGAGGGCTCCAGCTGTTCTTGATCAGCTGTGATCCCACTTATGGGTTTCTCCTCTGTCTCTTCTTTCATGCTGTTGCTCTGCAGCGTCTCCTCAGGAATCCGCCCTGAGCCGTGGCAGTCCACTCTCTCGTCACGCTCGCTGAGCTTTGAATCCTTTACCTTCTCTTCTTTACCAGCAGCCTCCTTCCGCTCTTTTTTCACAGCCTTGTCTTTCTCTCGCTCCTCTCTCTGCCTCTTTTCCTTGCTGCTGGAGTGTTTCTCCTTTGCGTTTCTCTCATCTTTGACAGGAGAGGAATCAGAAGTCTTCTGAAGTGAGCTATTGTCTTCACCTTCCTTTTTCACTGGCAGAGATTCATCTGTCTCATCACTTTTGAAAAAATTCTCTTTCCAGAACTCTCTGTCAAACTCCAAATTCCTGTGGCTGTCTTTCCTGGCCTCCTTCTGCCTGTGGCGGCTCCGCTCTGCCTCGTATTCCCTCCTGTGTTTGTCTTTCTCCTTGTGTTTAAGTTTATGCTTCTTTACTACTTTGCCGTCTAAGTCGGTCTTCCGTAAGGCACCTTCAGCGCTGTCTATGCTGTTTCCTATGCTGCCTTCTTTGTAAGGACTCGAATGACCGTCGTCCCCGTCTACACTGGAATCTTTCTGTTGATGTTTGCTCTTCTCCTTGTGCTTGCACCCCTTGGTACTGGAGCCTTCAGTGCAGTAATCTGCGTCTGTGTAGTGGTTGTATTTGACACTGTCCACCGGACATGAGCTGTCACTGATGGAAATGCACATCTTAGTATTTTCCTGTTTGAGTGGTGTTTGTTTATCTGTCAGGCTGTGGTTCAGTTTCGGAGATTTTATGGATGACAAATGGAAGAGGTGGACGGATGAGTCATCTTTAGGACTGAAAGACATCTTGAAGGAGTCTTCCTCCCGACCCTTTTCTGTGCTCTCGGACACGGTTGCGAGAGAGAGGACCAAAGTTTTGCTGTTCTCTTTCCCATCCTCTTGGTTTTCCTTGTTTTTATTCTGGCTTTTGCTCTTCCTCTTGACTTTGCCTTTGTCCTTTTGCTCAGCATTCTCCTTTTTAGACCTTGTGTCGGCCTTGACGCTCTCTGAGCTCTGAGAGCAGGTAGGGGAATTCCTTTTCTCTGGAAGGCTCTCCATTTCATCACTGGAGGTATCAGAGCTGCAGTGGACACGAGGAGTCTTCTGCTTTTTGGATTTGGAGGAGGAATCCCCTTTGCCACTCTGCTTTCCTGCCACATGATTCCTTTCCTTTTCCTCCTTCTCCCGCTGGCGAAGTTCCCTCCGGAGGATGTGTCTGTCGTTCAGGGCTTTACTGAGATCCTCCTCCTCTTCCTCGTCCTTGAACTCATACTCATCCAGCCCGGGCACGGAAGAAGACGCTTTTGTGGCTGGTTTGCCATCTGAGTCCTTTTCAGTATCAGAGTCTTCCATGTTGTCATCCACACTGGATGGATTGACAGACGGTGGGTCTTCAGACTCTGCAGAGGGGAGGAAATCAATGTTAAGATTATAGATTAAAGTCAAGACAGCGCTTTATACCAGGGATGCACAATAATTACCCATGCAGATAAATTATCATCCAATAATGGGAAATTATAAATTAAATTACAGCCATAATATTGGCTGAATATATATATATAATAAATATAAATTGATAGGCTTCATGCTCTATAAAGACAAATTGTTTTTGTTTTATTCACAACCATGATAGATTTGGTTAGGACAGAGCTATGGACTATTAAATCCATCCATCTTTGCTCACTACATTTTATCCTTTCTTACCCACAGGTGTAAAACTACAGGTTATGAACTTCTATAGTGCATCCCAACTGACAATAAAGGGTTTAGTAGTGGATATAAAACTGAGACTACACATTGTTCCATAAATATTAGGTAAAGTAAAGCCCTAAATACACTGTTGACATTTGATGTTTAAGCCCCCCATCTGCTCCATCTATAGTGAAAAAACACATGTAGACATTGTGCTGTGAGGTGCAGTGGATGAAGAATGTTCAGTAATATCACAGTTAATATTTGTTAATATTTGTTAATATATGACTTTAAACCAGAGGTCAGCCAAGCTCTAGAGCATTCTCTGCATACCTGAAGAAGTCTCATCTGGGTCCGACAGTGGCACCTCTCCCTTTAATAGCTGTTCCAGCTCCTGAGAGTCAGCCACGTCCACGGGGCGCTCCCCGCGCTTGTTAGCCTGGAAGGCGTTTCCACCGTGGCGTAGTAGCAGTTTCACAATCTGTACAAAACACAAGAATTGAGATTGAGAATCTAACATTAAGCTTGTAGATAAACATTTTAAAAATAAAGCTACAAAATTGCAAAAGGTGGCACTGAAAATATTATCTTTTATAGCAACTCAGTTCAGACAAATGTTTAATACATTTGTTTCTAAACACTACTTACTCATTAATTGGCTGCAGTAAAGTTTTATAATCTTATGCAGCTCTTAAAATTACTATTATAAGACTTCTGGTAATGTGTACATTACATTTGACACATATTTTTCCATTTCTGAAGCGCTACATTACTGCAGCAGGACAAAAGTTTAAAAGTGAAGCTCTTACATCTTTATGCCCGCTGCTTGAGGCATCGTGGAGTGGCGTGTCGTCATCCAGACCCTGCGTGTTCACCTCTGCACCTGCTGCTATTAAGACCTTGGCCACATCGTAGTAGCCGAGATTACAGGCTTCATGAAGAGGAGTCCAACCTGGTGAGGACAGAAAACAGTAAAACCGGAGTGTTTCAGAATTCACAGTAATTGTATTGTAGCAAAAAAAGAAATTGTCATAGCTTTCTGTTGGGAGATAAATTGTAAAAATGAAAATACAAAACGTGTACACAAGATAGTATCATGCACACCGATGTCTGTGTTATCTCATCGCCTTTGAATAAGCAACTGTGAGTCAGCTTCATGTTATTAATAGCTACCGTACAGACATGATGGAAGCTGTTAAATGATCACCTCCTGGGGCACCGTACCTGCAAAGTCTTTGACGTTGACATCAGCTCCCAGGCTAATGAGCTCTTTAACTTGCTTGGCGTCTCCCCGGATGGCAGCCATGTGAAGGGGAGTCTCCCCTCGTTCGTTCCTCTTGTTGACCTTGTCCTTCTGCCGAGACGAGGCGCTGCTGGGGACTTTCTTCTGCACAGGGGTCGTTTGTGAGGGGTGACTGGGGGTAGAGTCTGGTCACAGGCAGGAAGAGAGAAAAGTACTTAATTGATGCTTGAAGCAAATGCCTGTCAGGGGCTGAGATAACTACCTGCATTAATGTGCAAAGCAATGGAATAAGCAGCCATAGTAAAACTGGTTTTAGTGGGAAGTTTAAAGACTGTGCTTATAATTGTGTGTTTAAGTATGTATTTATTAAAGGAATAGTTAAACATTTTGGAAATACACTCATTTGCTTTCTTGGAGACATGAGAAGATGGATACAATTTGCATATCTGTACCCTAAATTTGAAGCTACAGCCAGCACTGAATACCTTAGCTTGTCATAAAAACGGGAAACAGCTAGTCTTGCTCTGTCCAACAGTAACAAATAGGAATAGTCCCACAAAACAAAACAAAAAAAAAAAAAAAAACTGGTACCTGGTAGGTGGATTTTAGCTTCTGACAGAGCCAGACTAGCTGTTCGTCTAGCTACCCGTCTTTATGCCAAGCTTACCTAACAGTCTGCTGGCTCCAGCATCATACTGAACGAACAGACATGAGAGCGGTAACAATCTTCTCCTCCAACTCATGGCATAAGCAAATATTATTATTCCCCAAAATGTCAAACTGTTCCTTAAATTTGCATTTGATTGAGCAGCAACACTGTCACTGGTTTTACTGGAAACCTGCGCTTACCTGTGACTCTTTATTTACAGCATGTATGTACTAACCGCTACTGTCTTACAACCCAGTATTCACAAAAAGAAAAATGTATCTCAGTTACCGGTCCTGTGACATGTATGCACAGCAGCTTTCTTCTATACCAGATACATTAAATATTAGATATTCTCAAACAACCTTGAAATAAAAGCATGTTTGTCAAACTGCTCGAGAAGCATGACTCATCCAACAGCAAATATACTCTGAGCCATCTTGAGGATGTGGTTAAGGTGAGAGGGCAGGCACACAAACCTGGACTGTTGGCAGTCATCTGCATTAGGAGAGCCATCTGTTTGCGCTCTGACAGAGGATACCCAAACAAGAGGTTGGCCTGGGACTTCTTGCCCCCAGACTCCTTTTTCACCTTCTTCTTGTCTGGTCCATCTTTATCTGCAACAAAACCAAGACAGATTTTAGAGAACAGTTCCCAAAATAAATACATAAAAAGGTCCAGTTTCATTTCAAGCAGCAAATTCATCGTCACAGTGACGTTTTCCTCCTTCCCTTGTATCTGTTGAGCACGCGGAGAAACAGATGACAAGCATGAGGTTTGAAAAAAAGGGGACAAAACAAAATAAAAAAGACAGCATTCTCTTAAGCCAGCCAAGTTCATACAGCACTCCTCGAGCCCCCTCCCTCCCTCCCCGGCCTCCCTCCCTCCCTCCCCAATCTCCGGTCGGTCAGTTGTTACTAAACACAGACATGCGTGAGCTGTAACAGGGCCAGATGCAGGGCGAAAAACACACACAAGTGCATGTGTGCAAGTGTGTTTATAACAGCATTGTGGCGCAAAGTGGGTGACTGGTAGAGGACACGGGGGCTGAGGATCGGGCTGCAGCGATTACCTGCGTATATCCTGCAGGGAGGCACTAATCTCTCTCCCCAGGTCTCACTCGACTGGCCTGGGTCTGAGTCATCTACAGTGCAAAGCAGAGAGGATGGGGAGGGGAGAGGGGAGGGGAGAGCAAGGGTGGGTGGAAGGGTGGGAAAGCACTGCATTAACGCTCTCTCTCTCTCTCTCTCTCTCTCTCTCTCTCTCCCTCCTCGTCTCACATGTACTCAAATACAGACAGGCACAAAGGCAGACTTGCACTCCACGCACAGATTATGAGTCATGGTAACACAGGAGACAGGAGAGAAGATCCAATCCGAGGCGGTCAGTGGAGTCGGTGCTTCCTTTATTCCTACGGCTGTTCAACACAGGAGCCACAGGAGAGGCACTGGTGGGGTTGGGGGGGGGAGAGGAAAAGCCGCCCTGCATGCTAGTTTAGCTTTATAACGTGTGCAACATAAATTATACTCGGCACATTCAAAATTGATGGTTCTTCGTCTGTAAGAATGACGCAGGACCACACATTGAAAATCATTACGTTGAGCTTTTGCTCTACAGAGGAGATGAAGGCAAATCTACCGGACCTCAAGCAGTCTGTAAAACGCATTACTGTACTTCATTTTCTGTAATTATGGTTTGTACGATACACTAACCCTATTTTTACTTCTCAAATCTGATGTAAATATACAGTTAAATTTGTAGCCAAATGACAGAAGCAGAATAATTTTATTTACAATAGTAAGAGAGGTACGATTAAGACTTCAAGCTCACAATTACTCCAATGTGAAGCTGAGTTGGGTGAAGAATTTTATCTTCAGAGTGATGAAGGAACTCAAAAAGAGCAGCTTTCATCGTACAACTGCTCCGATAAAGCTACGTCTTAAAGAATAAGGTCGGCGTTTTATATTTTTTGTACTTTTATATTTATGTCAAAAAGTTCCATCGAAAGACCGAAACAAACAGTTCTGTCTTTTCTACCCCGGCTGTGGCTTTCAGCCCAAAGCCCACTGGTTCCTACTGAAGACATAAATCTTTAAGAACAAGTCACTAATATAATGTACATACGGTTTCATTTTTATATAAAGTCTCAGTAATTTCCCAAAAGAGCTAGCTAGTTTGTAGCCAACATTAATAAACAGGAGCAAATAAGTGCATTTGTTTGGGACTATTTGAAGCAGTAAATATTTAGGATGTGACAATGACTCAACATGAGCTACAGTGCTAGTGTTCATAGAAATAAAGAAAGACGTCAGCGAGTGCAACAATGTGGCTCACTGACGTGTTTTTAAAAATTATGACGCAGAGGATACACAGACTTGTTTACAGGATCAGTTCTTTGGTAGTTTTGGAGATTTTTATGGGATTTATTGACAATGAGTAAAAATACAGCTTATGGGCAGCTTTATATTTAAACTTTAAAAACTGGTCAGTGTATAATGAACTACAGGACAATCTAGTTAAAAGGGTTGAGAGCCTCAAGTTAACTCTAACATAACTATTTCCCATCATCTTTCCTTCTCAAATCTCATAATTCAACAGTTATCTTGTTGTTCGACACAACACGCCACAACTTCTTCAGCATGATCAGCTTTGGATCCTGTTGCCAAAAAGGTCAAAAACCTAAACCAAAAGACAGTCCCTTAAAGAAAAAGTTAGGCCACCAGGGGGCAGAGTTAGGACATGGCACCCAGCCAGCAGCATGGCTGTTGAAAGAGGAGCAGGGAGGAGCAGCAACAGCTCTTACCGGTGTCAGAGTCTCGCTCCTCTGTCCGGAGCGGACTGGTAGTGAAGGAGAGCTTGCGCTTCATGGAAGACTTGGCTTTCCCTTCCTTCCCCAGCAATTCACTCCGGTCCAGCTTCGGAGTTTTGGTGAAAGGGGACAACTTGTCTTTGCTCTGTCAGAGGAGGTGAAGAGGAAATAAAAAGAACAAAAATGAATCAGGCATTTTAAACACAGCAAAAGGTGTGGCTACATTTATGAATTATGTTTGTACGTAAACAATACTGCCAGCACATAAACTGAGGCCTGTTAACTAGCTCAACAACAAAAGGGTTGAGCTTAGTGAGCAGGTAGTATTTCAGATGAGGCCAAAGCCTGCTAAAACATTACACTAACATAACAAAGTGCGGATGATTATATTACAGGCTGTGTTGTGTCTCTGTAACATACTGTTTGGGTCTTACAGGCGGGAGGTTTGCCTGCATGACTCACTAAAGTCTCACTCCCAAGGCAGGGTCTCTGCCAAGAGTTAAAGTGAAAGATCAGGAGTGACTAGTTTTTTCACACACAGAAATTTAAATATGAAAGAGAAAGAAGTCTTGTTGCAGTGTGAGAACTTTCATACTAGAGCAAACAGAACTCCTAGAACAGTTAAATATTAATACTTATTAGATTAGTGGTTTAATTTAAGACAGAATGACTAAAAACCTATTAGACAAGCTGCCCTTTGCACTCACATGTTAATATTTCACACATACATTAGCAGCACTCGTATAAAAAAAAAGAAGCAACATCTTGAGGATTTAAAATATGTAAAACAACAATCCCTACAGTCTCTATGGATCTAATGTAATGAAATGGAGGACTCGTAATTAACTGTATACACTGAACCCAATCTTGTCTACACACACCGCGCTCAATGTTAAACACAAGTACTGCCACACTGCGGTTAGTTATGTTTTCTTTGGTGACCAAGGTCTGAGCCATAATTAAGTTAAGAACACAACAATTCCCACATCACAAGAAAGAAAATGTTAAATGTGATCCCTCCTACTTTCAGCTGCTAGTAGTTTTTAAAAACGTCTTCGCTTTTCTCTGCATCAATTAAAGAAAATGCTGTTCAAATTCTTCAGAAAACACTAAAAACTTATGGTAGAGGTGGTGAGGGGGTGGCTCCAGTGCATCATGTACAACAAAACAGTGATAGCACCCACTGCACCGGGGCTGTATCATCAAAAACGTCTTACAATTCCAGTTACCAGGTTCTCGCACTCTGATCTTGCAGACAAAGCTTATTCACTACCAGTACTTTTAGTGAGCTGCACTCTGGTGCAGTAAAATACATTTTTTGGCAGGAGGAAAAATGTATGCAGTGTGGTGCTTCTTTGATCTCAGTGAAGCAATGTGCCAGCTGTGCAAAGCTGAAGTGTCTGGCAGTGTTGTAAGTAAGAAGAGAGTTAGGATGAGAAGCACTTCTGCCTTAAAAATTAAAAAGCAGACGTATAAAATGGACCCACTCATTTATGGAGAAAATTATAAATAAGTAGTGTTGGTATAAAAATGCGGAGGACAGGATTTCTCACTCACATACTCCACAGTGCATTAAGTACCTTGTACTTAAACATGTGTGCATCAGTTGTTTTATGACAGCACAGTGAGGCATGAATCAATATTCACAGAGTGGTTCTCAGAATACTAGTTGTGTCCTCTGATCCACCTTGAATGTATATTGTTGGGTTACTGGTGAATCACATTAAATCACAGTATTAGAATCAATGTCAACATGGCTGTCAAAGCACAGTGAACATGATGTGTGCACCCTGCCAGCACCCAGATGACTGGCTAAGAGACAGTTTACACAAATGTCTGAGGGAGAGTTCATCAAGAAGCTCTTCAAATCTGGAACACTGACTAAAAGTAAAAAAAAAAAAAGAAAGAAAAGGAGTTGTTTTGGGTTTTATTCAGCGCAGGAAGTCAGGCGTACTCGGTTAGAGAGCTTTGTGAAACACTCAACAGGTGCAAAAATGTGCTAAAACATTAAAACACTCACATATTTCAGCACTGAGGGAAGTTGTGACTAAACAGAAGAGTCTCCATAAAAAGTAAATCTGCTTGGAATTTTTGCATCTCTGAGGTTTCCTATAATAACGCTGACCAGCTAAAGTGCTAACATTATAATCTGTGTCTCAGGTAAATTATGCAAGATTTACTTATTATTGTCTGCCTACAGAACTCAAAGATAACTATAATATTCTAATGTACTAATATATACTCTACATGACTTGGGATCCAAAACAGCTACTGAATGGACCTTGAGGTGAGACTCATTTGTCAACTGGGGTTTGTATGATCAATAATGAACTAAAAGACCCTTAAGTAGTCTGAAAAGTTGAATATTTCAACATCTACAATGTCAGGACAGCTGGACAAACTCCACCAGCTGATGAAGATCATGTTATATAATCTGCATCTACTAAATGGTCCTTGAGGTCAGATAGTTTTTTTAGTTTCAACTGCTGGTTTCAAGATCAAGAATGAATTTAAAGCTCTGACTTGGGATCTAATTTTGTGCTACATACCTCTATGATTTAACTCAGAATTAAAAGAAAATAAGCCCAAATTTCACAGAGCTAAACATTCATTATACTCATTTATCATTGGAGGACAGAAAAGTGATATTCAGTGCTATTCTGTGTCTGTGCTAACACACCTTCTTCCCCGCCTGCTTATCCACCATGGCTCCATCTCTGTCGCTCCCAGGTTTGGCCATGGTGTGGCACCTGACTAGCTGTGACAGCTACAGCACAGTAGGTTCATCATGCACCTGGAGACAGAAAACAGCAGCAATGAGAAAGACTTCAACATTGCCACATCACAGTGAGTCTGAGTGGATGATCGGCTTAGTGTTTGCACCAGACACTGGCCAGCACAGGGGACATTGTTTAAATACAGGTACAATTAAATGACCAGTCTTCACAAAAGGCCCGTTTCACAAGCGAGGCCTTCAGCAAACTGCTGCATCACAGAGGAAACATGACCTGTGTAAAGACAGATCACTTAGCCAGAGAGGAGTGGAGTGGTAGTGTATGAGCAGCTACTGTACACGTTGAGTGGATCAGTAATGTGGGATTTTTATTTAAATTTCCATACCACTTCTTGAGAATGACCTTAACAATTGAGGCAGGAAACAACTACACAAAAGGTAGCATGAATCACAGCTTTAGGGACTCTTTTAAAGTTCTGCTAGGAAAGCATCCCACCCCCCCCCCCAAAATGTTGTCACTGTAGCCTACTCATCAGTTTAACCAAGTTTCTCTCTGATGTGGTTTGTGTCAGTGTAGTAACACATGCAGCAGAGTCAACGGGGGCACTGCGGGTGCCTACAGCGACTCGAGAAAGTATAACACCCAGCTGAACATGTGCACAAAGCCGACATGGCATGTGTCAGTTATCTTGTCACCTGAAGATTTGTTTGTTTGTTTTCAGTCACAAGACGCTCTTCTCCTGTATGCTCACCGAACTTCTACACTTTCTCTCTAAGACAGAAACGGCATCGCAACTGGTTTCACACCAATAGCGTCTCTTGGCCGTACAAAAGCATCGCAAAAAAAACAACGTCTATATTAGGAAACCTGAGAGCCACTGATAAGATGTGAATCAGCCTCCAAGATGAATGGGAGAGCCCCATTACTCAAAATGCATCCAATTACTACAAATACAACAACCTATATAGTAAACATTTAATTTTAAGAAAAGAACCGGTATGATTGTTGTCTTAGTACTGAACTTATTCACAAAGCAAATCAGACATTGCTAAAGAGTCTTCACAAGAATTCTGGGGATTTCTTTCCTCATAACCTAGTTCTCTCTCTATCAGGACTCTGTGATGTGATGTTCAAACAATTAAAGTAATTGATTAAATCTTTGCTTGTCTTTTCTTTTTTTTTTTTTTTACACTGGTTCCAGTTTCTCAAATGTCAATATTTGTTATTTTCTTCGTCCTTACCGACAGTAAACCGCATTATCTTCGGGGTTTGAACCGTGGGTCGAACAAAACAGGCAATTTGATGGTGTCAACTTGGACTCTGACATTTTATAGACCAAAAAAAATAAAATCGTTAAGTAGTTATGTAATTGAGCACATAATTGGAAAATTAACCAATATTTAAAGTTATTATTTGTTGCCTTGCCATCGTAGTAAGATTAAAGACACTCTATAAACTGTCAGGGTCAAAAATGAACCATTACATTGTACAACATTTTTATTTTAAATCATGATTTAAAAATGAATGTTGACGTAGGCTCAGCTGTGTCATCTACAGCTTTAGTTTTCCTGTGGGCCAGTAAATATAACCTGACTGCAGCAGATGGGTTGATACATGGAATCATCTGGGAAGTTGTCTTTGGAAATTGTGTGGAAAAGGGCAAAGAAATACTTGGCATTTGATTGAATAAACCATCTGTCTATCACTTAAACACACACTATACTATACACACACACACACACTAAAACTTCATGGTTTGTTGATCTTAATTGGTTTTATATATAACATTTGGCCACAAATGCATAGATTTAAGCCTGCCAAGATGGATTCTCATGTAATCTCAGGAGTCCGGCTGCTTTGCACGGTTACAGTATGTAAGAGGTCAAAACTGACAGCACACAGGCAGCAATGATCTCCAAATGACGAGCCGTCCCTGCTAAACCAATACTAGTGGGAGATCCAAAAGTACTAAGCAATTGATTGATCGTTTGTTTGATTAAATGTCAGCAAACAGTGAATAAATCCAACATGGCATCTTTATACGTTTTGTTTTGTCTGTCCAGAAGTCCAAAATTCAAAGATGTTTAAATTAAAATCAAACAGTACAAGAGAAAACAGCAAATTCCCACATTTAAGAAGCTGTAACCATCAAATGTCAAGTAACTTGCCAGGTTTCCAGAAACATCCTGAGTACATCTACAAGTACTGTTTATATCTACAAGGTAGGCATCCTGTTATTTGGGTCTTTGTAGCTACGGTGTGGACTGCAAAACAATTATCTTGTGAGGCTAAGATAGACACCTATCTTATAGGGAGTACATGTAAGGTTTGCTACGCTAACCAACTAAGATGTAAACAATGTCAAACAAATCTAGACTGTGGAGATTATGACTTGAGACTCAAACAGCGTCGTATGAACAACTTAGACAACAGAGACACATAACACTACCATGAGAGTGCAATCAATCTGTGCTTGTGTATGAAACTAAAATCAAAAATACACACCACCACTGTGGCTAAATGGATCATAACAGCCGTCAACAAGAGAACAAGCATGTTCTGGCGTTTCATTCCCACCTTCACATGGGGCAATTATGTGGCGTATTGAGGAATTATGTAAAGGCCTTAACTCTTACAAGTTCAAGCAGCTAAATCACTCCAAGAAAAATACAACAACAGAGCGACCGTTCTGCCACACATTAAGAGCAGGACACTTAATTTATATACTGTCTGGTCTTAATTTAACTTGGATGTTTAGAATATTATTTGTGATCTTTGTAATACGTTTGGGGACAGTGTGAGAATTATTTTAGAGCTGAAATGGTTTTGTTTAGTTTAATTCAGATCCTCATTAGCTACTGTATCTTCCTGAGGTCCCCATTTGAATGTTTTAAAATACTCAAATAACACAAAAATACATAAAGACACATCCATCACATTCATACTTGCAATGGGACTACATAACACAAATACTAAGACATACAGCAACCAACACCACAAGCTGAAATAATTGGGTCCATGTTCATGAAGTCAAAAACTGCTTCCACTTTCTTAACTGTGAAGCTGCTGCTGTATATTAATCCAAATTAAACAGCTTCGGTCTGTTAAAACAAGTGATTTGAATCACCTTGTGGCTTTCTTCGCCGTTTTCTGAATTCATTGACTACACAATTAAATCAAGCTTATTAATCTATAATAAAAAAGAACTTAGTTGAGACCTCCTGCTTTTCAAGTAATTAGATCTCCAAGTATTTTGTGCACTAGACTACAACATTATTAAAACAATTACATTTTTATTAGACAGCAGGGCTCGTTTTAAGACGTCACACTTGCCATTTGCCTCTGCAGACAGAATCCAGTCGTACCTGTTTCCAGCGCTAAATTACCATCAATAAGACGACTAGACTTCTCAAAAGGGAACCCAACATTTAGTCTCCTCAGAAACATTTACAACCATGGCTGAGCCAGAGTAATAGCACAGTGTCGACAGGTATCGTTTTTCCAACACACAGCCCCGCTTGCTCGGCCGAGGCCGGCGAGAGGTCCATCATTAGTCAGCAGATAGCAAGTATGCAGCAGCACCGTCATTCAGGCCACTGAAAGGGAGAATTGAGCGGCCCGCAGTGAACACGTTGGTGTAAAGAGGCTAGTGTATCGGGGGTATTAAAGCGGTATGGACAGCACAGGACCAGACCAGAAAACAAACGCTGACAGGACTCCAATCTGGCCCGGAGACGAGGCGAGGAGGGTGTGACTATAATTACAGAGGTATTTGGGCTCTCGCCAGTTTGGCATTTGCATTCACTGAGTTTCATGAGCAGCTCAGGGCTGCATAAGCCCCTGCAAGCTCTGCCATTAACCTTGGGCTGTTTCAAGTCTAGATCAAACCCTGCTTTGATGAGTACTACCGTTCACAGAGACTGAATCGGAGATTAGTTTGACACTGGATCCCGTGCATAGAAAACAGTGATAGCAACAATTACCTAACCCACTTAATTCCAATGAAACAGGCTATCAAACTTCAAAATCAGGACTGTGAAAGGGTGAAAGTACTTCAGAGTGAGAAGTGACACTCGGGATGGCTGGTACCCTTGCCTATAGTGCAACCTATGATTATTTTTTATTATAGATTCATCCGCCAAGTATTTTCTCAACTAATAGAATAAACATTTTGTCTATAAAATGGGGAAAATGCTTGTTTTTCAGAGCACAAGGTGGAGTCTTCAAAACAGTCCTAAAACATTCAGTTTAGGATTTAATAAAAGCAGCTAATCTTTACACCGGAGAGACTGCTACCAGATAATAGTCTGTATTCTTCTCCAATAGTAGATCTGAAACAATTAAGTCAATTAATATAATCGCAGATATACAGAAAATAGATGGCAACTACTTTGATAACCAATTATTTCATACATGTTCCAGATTCTCCACTGTGAGAATTTTATGTGATAGTTAATTTAATATTTTTGGGTTTTATACAGTTGGTTTAGCTTAAGGAAATAGTAATATGTACTTTTTTTTTGCTATTTTGATTGTTCTGGAGACCAAACAATTATTAGAGTAATTGAGAAAATGATTGAGAGAATAAATCGATAATAAAAATAATCATTACTTATTATAATTAATAGACTAATCGTTCCAGGTATAATATACAATGCTTCTGTCCAGGCCACTGAAAACAGTCTAGGCTCTTTTTTAATATGTAGCCATCAACATCAGTATTTCCCCTATAATTATTTTCAGCGGCGGTGCTGTTTCATGGTATTCATACGTACTGGAGCTTAAAATTTCAGGGTATTCCAAGGTTTGTGGAAGACAAAGACAAAGAGATGAATATATATAGCGGGGAATTTGATGGTCCTCCCCCCAGAAAAGGTTTTTCCAATACAAAATCTGCAGTTTCACATCATTTTGGACCATTACCATGAACATATGTGTACAAAAAGGTTGAAAAACCTAGAGCAGACAATAAAAACAGAACTAGAGAAACTGGTGTCAAACATTACAAACATTTTCTCGAGCTAAAACTCAGTGACAGGCTACATCCTGCCTGTGAGCA